GCGTTGTTTCGACGAGAGATTTTATGTAAATAAATTGCACGATAATAGAGGCGTTCCTCCCCAACACCTACTTCAAAAGGTTCGCGCGAATCTGGGGTGTTTTCCTTTTAAATTACGAATTGAAAGCCGGCGCCATGTTGGAGGGCGCTCGAGGCAACGAATATTAACGCTGCAAAGATGAAATGATTACCTCACTTATGACGATAAGAGGCTACGCTACTTGCTTTAAGAGAAATTGCTGAATCGTAGACATTGTACAAATTATTACGAATATTATATGATAGCAGATAGCAAGAAAGTCATTTACATTTAAAAGTAAAAAAAAAAAACCTTTACCGAAAAATTGTTAAACACGCACGTAAAACTATATATCTCTCAAAGAATAAACGTTAGTTTAAAATGCAGACAAATAAATATTACAGATAATGTAAAAGTTATTAAAGAAATGATATGATAAGCCTTTTAAAAAAACAAACTAAATATGATACAGATAATGTTTGATCAAAGAGTATTGTTTAATCTTTGGTATTTTTATAAAGCCATAGATTATAAATACCGAATGGAATCCTTAGTAGTGGGCAATCACTCGAGACTTGTTTACAACTCTCATCTCGTATAAAAAGCACTCGAGCTTCTATTAACTTTCTTAATATCCCGTTAACATGAATTATATTCAAGAAAGTTTTTAATCACAAACAACAATAATTTTTTTAACCTGTACTTATATAATTGCGTTAGTTGTACATTGTTTTATGGTAAAACTAGCTTTCGCCCGCGACTCCGTCCGTGTAGAATTACAAAAAATTTAAGTGAGGCTATGTTTTCTTTAAGACTATCTTGTACATCCATATCCATGCCAAATGTCATCCACATCCTATCAGCCGTTTAGGCAAACTCTAACAAACATCCATCCATCTAAACTTTCGCATTTACAATGTTTACCTGATGTATGATATCTGTAAAGTAATTGATTGTTAAATTGTTACTAAACTTCGAAGTTTAAAATAATATTATTTGTCAGTAAAATATTTAATATATTTCATCCATAGTAAGAAACATTTTAAAATGTGACCACAATTCAACAGCTATGCGTAAATTACCTTCCAGTGGTTTTTCTACATTACGGATGTTGACGCCTCGATAGCTTTATGCATGTGTTTTAGCTATTTCCACGCATTTCCTTTTCATTGGAATGTATAAGAATACGCGATTTAAAAATTGGATTATAAATAACAATAATTAAAATGTTCTGTAACCTTCTGTAGCCTTTGCAACACTTCAAAATGTTTATTTTTTTAAGAAATGCATGTTATTTTTACAATGGTTCTCAATGTTAATAGAAATAGAAATAGAAATAATTTTATTGAAAAATAACAGATTAACAGTTAACAATAACAGTTATAACTAATTAAAAGATAAATATATTATATCTGTGGTCTCGATGGAAACAAGGAGTTTTTACTTTTCCGTATATTTGTAACTACAAAGTTGTCGTTCATTCAACTCGAAACTGCACTGCAACACATTCACAATCCACTTCAGACCTCATTTTTGTAGCGACGTTTAATAAAATGCCGCTTTTTGAATAACATGGCGCGTAAAATATGCCCGCACAGATTATATCGCGCTTTTAATCAACGCGTTAACGAGGCGATGTTGCCAGTTGTTTTGAAAATGACGTTAATTGAATTGTCGTGTTTGTACGATATACTGGCCGGATATTGCCAGTTAATATAAATGGTACATTTTTCTATGACTTAAATATATTATGGGCTCGGTTTATCAACGAATTATTTATTGTATCACATCATTTTATGTGTTAGTTCCGACTATAAATTAGGATATTTTAATTACTATGGTAGTAAAGCTTACATATGAAATTGGTTATGAAAAATTAGAAAAAAAAGGAACCCAGTTTACATAATTCAATTTCATAAAACCTTAAATTCATTAAGTATTGTACACCTCACATTAAATATACGTTGCCTTGTTAGGGCGATGAAATTCTGTTCCTTTTTAATGATGGGACATCATTTCCGTAACGATTAATTTGCAGATAAAAATGACATAAAATTTTTACGATAAAATAACTGTCAACAGAATAATTTACAATTTAGTAGCTCCACTGCCACCTGATACATTTGCGAGATAATTTCAAGTACGTGGGCTCTTTAAAACACGTTCTGAGTGAATATTGTCGGGTTTTTTACTTAAAGAAAACCACTTTAACCAGCCAATAATCTATAAACTGTTCCTCGTGAAAGCTTTCTCGGCTTTGTAAACGGCGCATGAACGTTGAAAGGGCCACATGTGTTGAGATTTCTTGACATATTTTAAACGCGAAAATGAACGCTGTTCGATACTGAAATATCTAAAGTAAAAGTAGACTGGGCTCTGCGATTACAATGCGTTATCGATCTGTTCGTTTTATAGGTTACCATAAAGTTATAAAATGTTTTTTTAAAGGCATTAAAATGTTATAAACTGAATCAAGATTCTTGTATTACTTTTCTGTACAGGCACAGATCAGTTACACTCTTTTAGATATTTTATAAAACTTTTTCCGTTTTTAATCTGTAGAGATAAGTTTTTAAACGTAACCACTACCCAGTCAACGGATATGAGTTGTTCAAACACCGCTGGCGGAGGGAGACTGTTTATTTTAGCAGCATCAGAGATTAAAGACGTTAGGGGCTCGAATTATATTCGGAACATCAACTAAATCACAACGACCTATGTTCAGCTATAAAGAAACATTTTAGCGACGTAATGCGTAAAATAAATATAACTGTCATTCGTACATTGAGTATAAACGTTCAAAGCATTAATATATTAATAAAATATATAGAAAATTGTTAAAATCATCAAAGCGTTTATGTTTTTTAAAATTTATTATAATGTTTTCGTTATGTCAAAACATAGCTGAGTTGTCTTTGATAATATCTATGGCACATGAATTATTGTTTTTTGAAGCTAAAGAATTGTCACTTAGTCTTTGTTCTTTGTTTAAAAATAAACGTACGTAAACCGGATTATCAATCAGCCACTTCAAAGAATACGCGTATAAATATGCTAATCGACATCACTGTTAACAATTGATCGTCAGTTGTCAATTAAATTAAAATTTCCTCACGAAAAGAAAACAAAAGAGTAACCTACGTGATGTAACTGTGAATACGAGTATATTGTCTATCAGCATGTCTTAACATTGAATGACTCTTGTATAACGTACACTGTAGAGGGCTTTATTTCTCCCTAGTTCGCTTCGGTCAGGGACAGAGTATGAATCGAATGAATATTTACAAGGGAGCCCTTTGCTCCCGCCCTTCGCTAACGGTGCTGCGCCGTGGGTGAACATTGAAATGTCAAACGATGCGGTGGCGCATATTATCACTAGGATCCAACGACGATCGACCCCATGCTATAGGAATACGCACGTATGTTGTGTGGCACAAGTTATAAGAGATTTAATAAAAGTAGCAGATCTGCGGATTAGTAAACATTAGGTGGCTTGCAGCCCTTCTAAATAATCTCTCCTTGATATAAAACACAATTCACTTTAGGTATATTTTAGTATGTGATGTTTTCAGTTATGATAGTTTAATTTACCAAAATATCAATGAAACTGTAAGAATCTGATTCAATCACTTGGGTACAAAGATTTTGTAAACAAGTATATTTTGATGATAGCAAAATTATTACACAATATGTAACATCAATGACAACTGGCTATTTTAAGCGTCAGATAGTGAAACAGACTTTCAACGTCTCCCGTTCTAGGAATTGATAGGTTCGTAATGACAGCATACGTCTTTGCAGTGATGTTATAAGGTTATCGACGTGACAAAACAGAACCATGTAATTGGCGTAATCTAGACATTCGATTGTTTGTTTTGTTGTCGCCGTAGAATTCCACTTTCGTGACACTTATAATGATACATATTGCATCTCTTTCATTCTCGTTGATAGAAAAGAGATAACTGTAATATTCTACGCTCTTTGATTTTATTATAGGGAATTGAAGTAACAGTTTAATTTCATATTTGGATTTAAATTCCATTTGTTGATTCTTGCCTTAAAGGTGATGTGCTTGTTCTATTTCAAAACAAATCATCCGCTTTCTTTCATATATTACACCGTAGTAAAAATTCAAATTGAATTTACTATTTTCCGAACAAATCATAATGAACTCTATCACATCATATAAATGTTGATATTTCATCGTGGATTTTTAATGAAACAGCACATAATCTTGTTTATCCCGGCTCAGAGGTTGAAAGCACAAACTACGCTTTGTAATGAAGTTTTATGAATAGGATTTGCTTTGATTGCTAAGTATATTGTTTTCAAAAATTAATTTGAAACAACATTTGCATTTCATATCTCTTGTAAAAGAAACCATAATACATATAAGAAGGAAATGATCGACGTTTCTAATCCTTCTGTTTCCTAACTTTTAGAGGAGGCTTCTATAAAATAAAACTCGTATTTATTTATATTTTCTTTACTTGTAATATACATCTATATATAGACGAATTATTTAGCTAACATGCATTACCAAGGCTTATTTAAATTGAAAATCTTGTCGTAATTTAGATGAAGTCTGTAGGACGGAGTACATTGGGGTCCGACCTTCGTGTATCGATGGGGGCCCAAATAAGTTTAAACATCCGTCTAGCCCGAGGCGTTATTGCATTAAGCCAACAGTTGGGGACCCTGCCGGTCGATAAATTGCTTCAGAGGTGACCGAAGCCAACACTCCCGAACGTTTGTTTTGCACATATATTTATGTGACTCTGGTAGTCGATACCACTTTTTGTAACATATTTGTTGTAAACAAGCATATACTCGTACAATGTAGTAATTAGCTATTTACATGTAAAAAGACCTAAAGAACTAATTTTTATTATCGTAGTTTAAACCTTTCCTGAGTCCTCAGAACATCCTACTATAGTTTCATTCAAATTTCCCTAATGATTTAATATTACTTTTTTTTACAGACGCGGGTGGACTGTGCCTCAACAAAGGATGTTGCGGGCCCAAAGCGAACGTGGCGCTAACGCAGCGCGCACATCAACAGCTAACCGACTCGTTGCGAAGCGAACTGGCTAAACTTGCAGACATACTCACTGTCAGAGCGAGAAAGTTCGATGGTAAGTCACCTTCATAATATTATCTCATCTACCTGTCCTTATCACACTCAAGTAAAGTGGAGCATCAGGTTATCGTCTTTCAAATGGATATACTGTTAAGAAGAAAATTAGTACGGTCCTGTAGAATTGGCGCAACACTAGATTATCGGCATAAACGTCACATCCCTAGCTGACAGCTGCCAATGCCATTAGAAGGATAGGATTTTCGCGCGCATTCCTGGCCAGATCTCTAGTGCAGTGTTTAAATAAATAACGCTAGTTACAATTATATTAATTGTTTAAAAAATACAAATCACGACTATAAGGATTTAATCACGTCATCTTTCAGTCAATTTTATGCGTGTTATTTTAGTTATAAAATGTATACTACTGTGATAAAAGTCAAGACAACAGCTAACCATAGACAAGCTTCTGTAGACAAAACACAAGTACAGTTGCATTGCGGAGCATTGTCAATGGTCTGTCGGGGCATTAGCAGTAACCAAGTGGCCGTCTGGGCACTAACGGCGCACTCTCGGCCCGTACTCACGGCGCTCTGCTACTGCCGGCCCCTACTATCAGTTTTCACTCGAACCGATTTCATTATAATATAAATAATACAAATAAATAACTACAGGTAAAATATTGACACGTCCAAAATAAAAATGTGAAAGTATTAATAATGAGATCTTCAATAGGATGCTAACGGCTTAACTGGTGATTAACGAAACTCAATTTCCTCCTGTCAATACGGTCAACTAGTGCTCGCCAATTATGTTTCAATTTGACGGAACGAAATAAAAATTGGGTGATTAATAACATCCGCTCGGCCGAACCAAAGAAACTAAAAGTGTCAAATGCCTACTTAACATAAAACTTGTAACCAATTTCCTTAACTGTGTTCTGATTAATGTACTACTACTGTGTACTAATTAATAAGCGACCTTGTTGTTTCAAAAGAAAAAAAAATTAACATCATTTAAAGATTTATTATTCACATCTTTGAAGTCATTTACTAAACAAAGTCTTTTTGGCATAAAATCAGTGCAGCTTTTGCCTCGTACGAAACACGACCGTAAAATAAAGTTACCGAGAGCAAAGCTAAAAAAAAGTATGAATATAAGTAATTAAAATTTCATACTGCATTCACACGCAGCATCGCTCGCTGTCAGTCAGTTATAATTAGCTTTTACACTCGGGTCCGATGGATTTATCTCAAGGAATGCCTGTTTAACGAGTCGATTTTTTATCGAATCAATCGATTCTTTTTGTGGGCTGCGGTCTCGCTATGCTGGCTTTTTGTTCGCTTGTTTGTTTATTATCGAATACAAAAAAGTTAAAACGTTGCAAATATGTTGATCGTAATAAACTTCAAACTAAATGCAGTTTGTTTTTCAACGTATATTGCAAAATGTAGGAAAATCAAATTCTTATCTTCTACAGTTGTTTTACATTACTACAATGTAAAAAAACAAACGCAAACAGCGATAACTAAGGAAATCTATTGCGGAAAGTGATACACAGTGTTAGTTTTTTTGTACTTCATTAGAAAAGGTACTCTAATAAGTTTCTAACGTGTTCATTTATGCGTCAGTGATGTTTACAATTCGGATCGTCGAATTGTAACGACATGCGAAATCGCGCGTTATTTTTTTCCTTCGCGACCATTGACCATGTCCATTCGCAAACGAAATATTTATTTATGTCACAGTGATAAATATTGACCATTCGTTTTTGTATTCGTGAGACATGACATCTTTGGAATGTATAATTAATATAAAGAAAGTATTAGGCTCTTGTTTTTTTTCATAATGAACTTCAAAACATTTTTTTTTAATTCCCTATTAATAAACACCGGAACGCAAGACTTATTTGAATAAACAGGTAAAGGAAATGCGAAATTTCTTTCTACATATTTAGTCATTGTGGGAGTGACTTGCCTTAATTACGTTGCAGGAAGTATTCGAAATTAAAACTCGATTGAATATTTTCTTTCGATCGACTCGTGGTAGGGGTTCACACTGTTTAGTCTTCTGAGACCGACGAACATTTTACAGTCATTCAAAAGGCATTCGGAGTCATAACTTTGAGTAGCCATTTTGTTCTTATACAGTAGTTTAAAATTACAATGTGAAGGATACAAAATTTGCAACTTGGTACAATAAGCTTGTTCATTCATATAGCTTCATGCAGAAAGAATGTCGACAGAGGAATTATGTCATCGGGAGATAAAGAATTATATGTATTTCTGCGCTAATCTTGCATTTTAATTCATATTTTCATGCTTTAAAACTCTCATTACAAATTTTGTTTAGTTTTATTTATGTTTTTTTCATAGATAGGAATAATGTAATTAACTCTTAACCTCAATAATTGAATTTCATTTGAAAAGTCAGATATTAATTTGCTATTATTTTTCAAAATCGTTGGTTCAGTGAACCGTTCATCTAAAACTAAAGGATTTTAATAAAGATGAATGAAGTCAACCGATAGCTCGTAAGTTCTAAGATGCGGGCTCAAGCGACTATCGGCCTGTACCAATATTGACGCCGCCACTTTCCATCCTGCCGAGCCCCGAGCGTCCATTCCTCAGTGAAAACCGACAACCGTTCCCACGGACCTTGATTGAGCGATCACGGATTTTTACAGCTATTTATGACTACCATAGTTACAAGCGTCATTAATTCACATATATGATATAGAAATTTTACTGTAATAGGAACATTAATTTCTTTGGATCCTATAAAAAACTTACAACTTATTACAGCTTATTGTGACGCCTTTGGGTTGACTTCAATCAATTTTAGTCAATCAATCAATTATTATTCTGTGTAAGAAACTCAAACGAATTCTTAAAAAGTTTGATCGAAATTAGCGAGATGTGCCATGTTGTCTATACTACCTTTTTTAATTTAATCAAATGCACATCATTAGTAACAATTAACCGGCATTCTCCAAGGTCCAGTCTTTCCCAATTCCTGGATAATTAGCCGCGGTCATTTCTTCGAATCGGTTACGGAGTGATAATTGATTGTTGAAGTCGGGGGCAAGATGGCCGCCGGCTGGCGGTGATCGCGCCATCTTTGGGCCGTCGCCTCTCGGTCCCGTTGTCCCATGCAATTACACACGTCTGAGCTGATGCCTTTGATGTGACTTGCACGGCACATAGACGGACTACATACTATACCTGTAATTATATTAAAATTATCAGTTATCTGTACTAATATTATAAAGAGGAAAGATTTGTTTTTTTTTTTGGATTTTCGTATGTCTTGAAATATCTCGAAAAGTACTGTGTCGATTTTAAAAATTCTTTCACCATTAAAAAGCTACGTTATCAGTGAATAACATAGGTATTTTTTTTAATTACAAATGATCGAAGTTGGAATAGTATTTAGACCTAATTCTTGAACAGCACTGTAAAATTTAAATTAAAACGAGAAATATAGAGTTTCTTTAACTCCTGTGACGTTTGTATTTGGCTGGTTTATTTCCATACATGTATTATTCACGAATCTTTAATCCTTTCCACGAATTCAGTGCCTTAGTAGAGCGAGCGGTGAGAACCGACATCTATAAATGCCAGGCTTAAACCGTCCCACGTCCAAAATGAATTACAGCGAAACCATCAGTCATATATTCTAATCGGCGGTACAAATGAGCCGCCATTAGAATCTATTGCTACCGAAATGTGTATATATTTTTAGCCGACCATGTCGTTAATTTTGAACTGAGGGCGGTCGGAAATAGGAACCGCGTCGTGATTTACAACACGCCTGTAAAAGTATACGCGTGTTAGCAAACTGTTGCGTTTAAAAAATAACACTCACTTAAAAACGTTTATGATTTAAGGTAAAATACTCGTAGTAGTTAACCAAATAATTACACTTCACAAAAATATTAATAAACTTTATAAAAGTCATGTTCAATTCAAAAAGCTTGTCAGATTTTATACAATAATCATAAAGTTAAGTCATATTTGTACACATAACAAATATAAGCAAATAAAACATGCGAAACAAAACGTTTGCTTGTTACTCGTTCCGTTTTATCGTTATTGACAACCCTAAATATTTAAACCCATACTAGTGATGTGCGTATTACGTATCGATATAATTAATATCGATAAAGTTATAACTGTCGAATCGTGGATTACCGTATATTATCTGGCATATTTTTCGACCGTATTTCTAAGCAGGTGATGGCAATGGCGCACGTGGCCCCCGCAGCGGAAATGCAGCCGCTAACACACTCGTTACACATTTTATAGCTCGTTTACCCAGCTGCCAGAATATAAACGAAAATCACGATGACAGTTATAATTATGTTGTAATCAAAAACAGGAAAAACATGAACATCTTTAACATGTAACTCTCGGATGTTTAATTTTGTGTAGTCAAAGAGAAAATTGAAATAATAACTTCTACAATATTATATTTCAATTTCATCGAACGTAGCTTTTACTTCATAAATACGTCTATTTTGAAATATTTCTAGTGATCCTTCCAATATCTCTCTATTGAATCTATTTCCATGTTAGCTTCAACAGTGACCTTGTTACGACCTTGCTAGAAATACGTAACGTTCCAATTTAATCATCACAAACTCATCCTATTATTGCATGTTGTAATTATATTTTTAATCTTATTTATATATATAGTTATGGTTTGAATTTATGTTTAAATATCTTTCAAAAATTTGTTTTATTACAATGTAAGATTTAAAACGTAACTATTGTTAATAGTAGTCCTATTTCTCTCTAATATGCCATTTAACTTGTTATTACACCAACTCAGTTATTTTAATTACATTTCGAAGTATTCACACTTCATACTTCATAGCACCTATTTCCGTCGTATACATTCTAAACAGGCGGATAGATCGTCGTTGACAAGTGTAATTACGACGCTAATGGTAAACGCCTCTAAAGTTACATCTTTACGTAAAGTTAGAAGACTTCCATTAGCTTTAAAACAACTTTTTAATATTTTAATTTAAGTAAAATGAAAATCTAAGCTGACATTATTGCTGGAGCTCTTGCTTTAAATCAACTTTTTAGCCTCAATTCTTTATTTAATCCTCCCACTATTATCGCGGCCTCTCTACATCATTATGTCATCAACCTATGGGGCTGGTTGTCTGTCGATTGCACTATTTCTCTACCAGGTTCCACTATTCTATCTCCGGTTAAGTCTATCATTTGTTTGTAATGTAAAGAAACGAACTTCACCTCAAAGATTTCCTCTTACTGCAAACAATTTCCCGAATTCGATTTTCCTCACGGGTTTATTATTAAAATTGCGCTTAGAACGATGCCAAGAATCATTGAGAATAACGTAAACGTTCCCAACAACAATATCTTTGTGCCGCTATTTAATTTCGAGAACCGCATGAATGGGTCGGAGTGCGGTCACTCTGCGGTTACTGTATCCAATGATTCTCTCATCGACAGATGAAATGCCTCGCCCACTTCACATTCAATGTCGAATATAAGATATTTTATTTTAATACAATGTTTGTACAAGATTTTTTTAAATGTTTTATACGCTTATAAACTGTTTTTCTTTGAATAAAACTAACTGTGCTGTACATGTTTTGAACGCTTTTACCTTTTGCTGTAATTTAAATTTTTGCCGTATTATTTTGTTGGATTTATTCAATTGATTGTTATGTATGTATACAGATATAATTGAAGATTTCCTTGTAACCCTTAAAGCCGTCACCTCTCGAGTGATTCAATAATTACAAAGCGCGATAGATGGCTATAGAGTTCACTCGAATTGTGTGCACAAGTTGATTGACTCACGACGCGCTTCTACAACAATCAATGCTAAAGTCCGCGACACAACGAGCAAAAATCTTCTCAATTTACAATTGCTATCATGAATTCCTTCCGTTTCATATATATGATACATACATAGAACATAATGTGCATTCAACAGCAACTTTGTTTTAGACTATCTTATGAAGTTTGCTACTTGCGTTTTCAACCAGATTAATATTCAGTCCACCTAATCTTCTTCGGCTTAGCCCTGCTAATGTACCTACTGGACGGGGTCTCATATTTATATTTCAAGTTCTCCTTATCAAATGCAACTGAAACTCCAGTAACAATAAAAAAAATATACTAGAATTCTCTCGGTGTACCACCGTTAGTCGCGTGCATTAGCCCGTGTCCGCACGCGACTGAATCGTGGCGATATGCACTTCTGTATACGACTTTACATTTTTTAATTTCGATACATGAAAATCGCTTTTCCTTTCAGTCTTACCTAAGTATATAGAAGAGTATATGAGACAAAAAACGTAACATATTCCTTGACTTGATTTATAGTTAAAGTGAAACCGTTGAAATAATGTTTTACAAATTGGCGACTGTAGAGTGTAGTTCGTACGATTGTACATTACTCATCCAGTCGACTGAGCTTTATCTGAGTCATAGTTATTTTTGTAAAGAAGTAAATCCGACATACAACACATCTCTACCGAGCTGATATAACTAATACAAAAATCTGATCATTCAAGAAAAATGCTACTACAGTTTTATTTGTACTTTATTCTTGACTAGCTGTTCCCATGCGACTTCATCCGCATAAAATTATGATTAAAATTTTTTTTTATCTTATATTTCACAATTTTTTGTAATAACAAAAAAATATATTAATAGCAAATGTCAAAATGACATGACATGACAAAACCTTAGCAATTTTGCTTCTTGATGTTGGCAGCAGCTTATGGTCTCTTTCCCACATTAAGGTTTTTATACAAAATATTTACCCCTATGTGTAATGACGTTAAAATATATAGCCTAAAGCGTGACGTAAGTGTAGGGCTTTTTATTAAAAAAAAGAGTTATTCGAAAATGTGCTGTGATTGCTGACATCTTAGGCAACAAAGAAGTGTGTGTTTACGCTTTATTATATTAGTATAGATTTCATTACGTTTAAAGAGTATGTACACCTGAAACTATCGCACAATTGTTTAGTCTCGCTTTGATTAATATGAGCTTAAATGGAGGTGTGCACGCTTCTCCATTTTTAGTTGTGCAACTAAACAGTTGAATTGACTGCGAAACAAATGACAATTGACAACAGTTGTGCCGATCGTCATTTGTTCGAAGGTGTCTCTTAAGAGAAACCTTCGAACTTCGAACTTCGAACTTCGAACTTCGAAGTTTAAACTTACGATTTTTACTCTACATATTTCATTATTTTCTTTAATTGTATCTTTCCATAACAGTTATTTTATTTACTTTTTTTTGTTACAGAATTCTTTCGAAAGCTTTTGAAAGTGTCACGGGAGGAGTTCCACAATATGTTCAAGCGCACATACGGCATGATCTATGAACAACATTCATACGTATTTGAACAACTCTTCGAGCAGCTACAAAAGTAAGTTTTCAAATAGTACTTTTTTTATAAAATAGTTAATAATTTTTTTATTGATTTTCCAAGATTTCTTTTACCATTTCAACTAAGCTCTACGTTTGTGCTAGATTATGGTTTACGACAATATTCGAAGGCGGGATTCGAAACCCCAAATACGTTATCGGATATCCGTACCCTTAACCATTAGACTATTGGCTCTTAATTGGATCTAAAACTTAACGAAACTCATCAAAGCATACGCCGTGTTACAAAACCCAATAGTAATTGTCTCTAAAACAGTTTTCTGTGTGACATAAAAACGATCCCAACATTTTCAAATATGCGACATTAAAAAAAAATTAAAATCGTTGGCACATCACTAAAGCATAGTTGACAGGTGTAATTAAAACGTATATATTTTCTATGAACAAATCCGGTTGCAATTACTGATGGTGCGACCCGCGCCCTGATTGCACCCTCGGGGTGTTGCTACCCGTTCACCCCCTAACTATGGCCACCATCAACGCCCCCTTGTTACGCACTTTATTGTTCGCACGCTAAAACAACAGAGCCCGTTAAAACAAAACCTGCAAATACTATTTTTGTTTACAGTTTTAAACTTTAATATTACAATAGCAGTTCTCGTTTGTAAATTGTTGCCACTCTTAACAATACAAATATACATCGGTGCATATTTAATTAATAGAGTAAATTTTTATTGTTTAAATAGGTACAAAACTCTGAATTTTACATAGGTATCTACTCTATGCCAATATTATTACGAGGAAAGATTTGTATGTATTCGATTCTCGTAAAAACTACTAGGCCGATTAAAAAAGTTCTTTCACCGTTATAAAGGTAATTTATCTGTGAATAACATAGGCTTTGATTATTACTAATGTAGCAACCATTAATAAAGAGCGTATTTTTTTTATAATACAAGTTGGCAAACGAGCAAGCGGCCACCTGAATCCACCGAAATGGGAAGCGACCGCTGCCCATAAACATCTACAATAGCAGATGCGTTGCTTACCCTTAATTGACGGAGGAGGAGACGCACATAAAGAGGACATTTCCCCTTCCTATGCGTCTCCTCCACCGTCAAATCCACTTTTCCTTCCCATCCTTTCCTCTTAAGAAAAGGGTGGAAAGGGACTAAAACTAGGCCTCCGGCACTACACTGGACCCCGGCGTTAAAATCACGAAAATTTTAACTTTTCTCGGGTTACACTGCCTAAACCGTTAGAGGTGTATAAATAACTCTACAGATAAAATTAGATGTTAGAGAAAATAGTAACATCATTAGATTAGGTATTATTTAAAATGAGATGAGTATATAAGAGGGAATATTTGAGTATGTATTTTTGTTGCAGCTACTACACACGCGGGGACACGAACTTCGACAAGATGATGGACGACTTCTTCGGCATACTCTACGAGAAGATGTTCACAGTCCTCAACTCTCAGTACAGCTTCGATCAGAAGTAAGTGTCTATTACCACAAAGATACAATTTCCACTGGTGCGACTGTTATACGAAACGACCACTCGCTTGGCTGGCTACGTGGAAATTGGAAGTGAGAGTCACAACTATAGCAATCAAAAGACAGCATAGCAAAAGTCCTGTACTTTAAAGTAAGCCCGTTGTTTAAATTTGTAACTCTATATCGTCTGCCGACTTTATAACCTCATTGTTCTTATAGTATTGGGGCACGAAGCCGGTGCCGGTGGTCCTTAGCGGTCGCACATTAGTGCTCCATAATGTTATCATAACAGTTCCCCGGTGCCACTTCACGCCATATTATCGCCCTCGATCGTTTGTTTACGTGTTACTTAAACATAAATTGCTTTAAAGGTCGTTACTCACTCGAGTTTCTATTGCCTGTATTCACGACACCTACTTACAACCCATTGTAGACCTTATTATTTGAGGAATAAAACATAAAATTGATAGCTAAAGGCATCATTTCAGAATTGTCAGTCTAGATGACTAGACAATCATTGCAATTGTCTATCCAATTAAGACTTTATTTGATTGATATATGAGTTATATTGGCTTGTATTATAAATTGCATTATTAACTGTGATTTTATATTACCATTTTTATTGGTGGATTTTTTTATATCACTTTTAATAACTTCATTCTTGTTGTCAAATACCAGACGTTTGTTAATTGAAATTGATTATGCAATGATTATTCATGTTTATAAATACCTATTTGAATGCGTTTTTCAACAATTCTAATATTGTTATCTGATTTTCTTCCAATACAACTTATAAATTTGCCATTAACTTATTAAAAATACATGAATGGGTGACAACTCGTTATATAAAAGTGTCTGGATGTAAATCGGCGAGGGAAAGCACATATCTGCGAGCGACATTGTCGACGAGGACTTGCACGCGCCCCCGCCGCCGCAAGCCCCGACAAAGGCTCACGTCACTTGACACTCGAGGGCCGCTTTGGCGAGACCGAGCGAGCTTTGTTACCCGCGACATACCATCCTTGTCTATAGATTTTTCACAGAGCTTTGGCATTTCGCTTTTAATATAGCTTTCGACAGATCGTTCAAAGACAAAAATGTGTTGGCTACTTCCTCTCTACGCGATACTTGATGGTCGCTACCTTTTTCGATTTGTCATATTGTTGCTATCTATCCATTCTGCCTGTGGTCTAAGCCTTCATGTTACTATGTTTGTGTACAGGTATTTGCGTTGCGTGAACGAGCATATGCGCGACATCCAGCCGTTCGAGGACGTACCTCACAAGCTGTCAGTGCAGCTGCGACGCGCTTTTGTCGCCACGCGCACCTTCCACAAGGCGCTGCGGGCCGGCGCGGATGTCGTACGCAATATGATGCAGGTACACAACTCAATAAACAACAAACAACTAACAGCTATACAACCACAAGTCAACAAATAAACTACAGAATAAAGTATGAACACAACCCAACCATGGTTCACTGGCCGGTTAGGTCCATTAAAAAAGTTACCACACAAGAGGTGCGGTTACTATCGGAGCATATAATTTAAGTATTCGAAAACATCTTCTATTAATATCTATACAATACTATATCCGTTCACCGCCACACGTGTCATCAATAATTCGCAAACGGCACCATAACGTCCAGGGCCGGTCGATAACAATGACAACGCGGCGCCGACCGACACTTTGTCTCATGCAAATTTTGGTAGCACATAGTTTTACAAACTGAATATCAATTCAAGACGGCATCTGACCTCGCTAAAAGTAACGTCGGCCACTATGAGTCCATAATGAGTAGAATTAAGCGGTTTGTGTTGATGTAAACGCAAATATGCTATTTGTGCCTAAATGATTTCTATTTTGGTAACAGTGACGGAAGGATTTGAACTACTCATAGAGACAGAATTAGCTGTCAGCGTTTAAGTCAGTTATTAAACAGTAATTCCTATAGAAATACTTGGGCCATACAATAATACCCGCTACGCTTATCGCTCAGCTTATGCTATGCGCCAGCGGTTAGACAACGTCCGTACATCCCGGTCGTCGCTTGGCGCCCGGATGACATACAAGCCGCAATTAATAATTTAATTACAATACCGACCATACATGTGCGCTTCTCGGAATTATATTGCTGAATTATCTTTGATGTGTGATTACGATTTAAATTCGCGAAGTATGACGTCATCTTATATTAAAGGACGTTAGGGTTGCCAACGCTGAAAATATCTATAAAGTACATCGTCATAGGCATCTAAAAATCCGCTACATTATGCATATATTGTGTCACTTACATTTTTTTTGACCAAACAAAGACAATATGTGGCACTGCAATCGAAATATTAACTCGGTTGCCAGTTTGATTGCAAATAAAAATAATTGTTAACCTTTCTTAATCTATTGACCTCCTGCCATTTCTGAGAATTTTTATTTCTTAGTATAAAGTTAAAGGTTATCTATAAAATATTAAATTCATTATTTTAACGCGATAACAACAGTTATTGCGAAAAGAACAGCAAAGAACGGACAACGTAAAAATATTTTCTCGAAATTTGACAGCCCTAATTATTTCCATTTGTGTTGTGTCAGATATTGATTAATGTACAATATGAATATTTTGGTTCTGTTTTAGTATTTTATTGCCTTGAAGTATATTTTTAGGAAACTGTTACACGAATTATTTTATTTTTAATACACGATACCAACTTCTTTATCTAAGTACTTTTGTCTCGGAAAAAAAAAATTAAAACTTCCTAGAAAATAAATAGTCATTTTAGACCACGTAACTAGACGAAGTCTATAATTATATTATCTGTGAATTATTAAGGTTTACGCATACATTATAGTTATTACGAAATTCTAGTATCGTTTAATGTTTCCAAACTGTATATGCTCAAAAGATTTGTACGAGCACAAATTACACGCTAAATCTCTGACGATTTGATGCTAATTCAGAATTCTCGGTTTAGAAAAACCTTGAAATATCAATGCAGCTACGAATGTGCTAAGTTGAGATATTTACTTCTTACATGGGAAATATTTCGGGAAAACCAACCTCAAACTGTCCAGCACAAAGATATTTTTAATTAATTTGCTGTCTCCAGTCTTCATATTAATTATATTATGTCACTGATTATCATTCTATCGACATAATTTAATGGAAATTTTCTTATTTTTGACAGCATTATTAGCATTTTATTAACATCATTTTAATAATTATAACAAAAATCTACTAATTTTCTTTAATTCTTCTCTTAATTAATACACTTTGTGTATCCAATATTCATTACAAGGTTATTTTTGCATGTATTTACTTGGTCGTATCGTCACCGTGTCGTATGTTGTCGTCAGGTGGAGTTGAGCAGCGAGTGCGGCGCGGCGTGGGCGCGGCTGCGGTACTGCGGCGCGTGCGGCGGCGTCTCCGCGCCCGCCTGCTCCCGCTACTGCCACAACGTGCTTCGCGGCTGTCTGCACGCGCACGCAGACCTCGCCGACCTATGGGACGCATACGTCGGTCAGTTCTTGCAACAACTATCAACCCCTTTAACAATGTCACATCGCCAAGTGCGATTTTAACACCATCAACATGAATTAACGTATGGATTGTTTTATTTTCAGATTCCGTAGAGAAGGTAGCCGATCGTCTACAAGGGCCCTTCAACATAGCGATGGTGGTAGAGCCTATAGACATAAAGATATCAGAGGCGATCATGAGCTTCCAGGAGCACAACCAGGAGATATCGCAGAAGATATTCGCGGGTTGCGGGAAGCCCAACCTGGGCGGCGACGGCGGCGCGGGACCGTTTTTCGCGCCGGACAGGACTCGTCGCTTCGCCCGCTCCATTCCAGACTTTGACTGGAATCAGAAGGCCAACGATGTGGACGACTTCGAAATAGAAGCGTCCTTCGAGAGCTTAGTAAACAACGACCCTTCGTTAGTGAGTCTTCAGAGTCCTGAGGGCATCAAGAAGGCGACGGAGGAGATGGACGAGCAGGCCAAGTCTAGGGAACGCTTCCTGCAGTACATGAGAGGGCACATAGATCTGGAGGAGTACGAGGAGCACGAGCGGCGGCGGCGCGAGGCCGGACCCGACGCCGCGGGCGGAGATATCTACATGAAGCCCTTCGACTTCGAAGGCAAGCGCGGCTCCAAGAAGAAGAAGCCCATCGCCACCAAAGCTGATGACGTGCATGGTGAGTCAGAATGAATTAAAATATCTACCGGATCATTCAACACAAAAATCATTAATTTTAATTTAAATATCATAAATCTTCCACGCCTGTTATGACGAATTATTCTTTACTCGTTTGTGAATTAAAAAAAAAACATTAATCAATAAACATAAAGCAAACTAAAAATAAGCAAAATAATTAATAAGTAAAATCAGTAGTTGATAACCGCAACAATGACCATTGGGTTTTTAAAAGGCGGCTTTGATCGTCAATGCAGTTCGCAATCAGTACGGCGAGCCACACAAGTTGCATCGCTTTTGTTACGACTCGCTGTAATTACTAGCTCATTACTTCGTTCCCACACGCTACTGTTTACAATAGCGATAAAACGAGCCCTCCCTTCCTTTATTAACTTAAGCATGTCTGTGTTGCCGTAATACAAACACTAGATAAAAGGACTTGTTGACCTGACCTAATGCCAATGAAACTATCCTCAATATGCGTTGGCAGAAGAACATTGCTATTCGGATCGGTCGTCAGTGAACAAAATCTTAGAAACGAGGGGGTCAGTGCTGTTTTTAATACCATTTTGTGTTTGAAATGGAGTAAGCTTCAATGTACTTTGGCGGTTCTCAGGTGCGGAGTGGGGCAGCCCGGTTCTGGAAAGATTGATGCGTGAGACGCGGGCACGTGTACGCGGCTCGCGGCGCTACTGGGCGCAGCTGCCCGCCGCGCTCTGCGCCCCGCTCAGCGTCACCACCGCGCCTTGCTACAATGGATCCGCACTCGCCAGGTAACTGACAGACGTTATAGTGCCATATATTTCCTGCATCCACTGTAAATTAATTGGTTAATTTTCATTTAATTTCTAAAGTGCTGGTTCTTCCAGCAGATTTTCTTAATGATTCAAAGACAAGTTGTCAAGAGTATGTTTTACTGTAATGATTTAATCAAATGTAATTTCCAGCTATACGAGTAGCACTGCGGGCGACGGCTCGGCGGCGCTGGCGTCCAACCCGGAGGTGCGCAGCGCGGGCAGTGCGGGCCCGGCGGCGCGCGCGCAGGCCGACGCGCTGCGGGCGCTCACCGCGCGCCTCAAGGACGCATACAACGGTGTCGAGGTGCAGTGGAAGGATGAAGGTATAAATAAAAGAGAAATTTTGTCAAGTGCAGGAATGAGGCCAATTTAAAGGGTGTTTTAATATTGAATGTGTTGTCCATAGACAAGCTGCAGGATACGGCGGCGGCCGCGTCGGGACTGGACCTAGTGTCGGTGGCGGGCTCCGGCTCCGGCTCCGGAGACGACGGCGACGAAGACGACCTGCCCGACGACGACGAGGACCGCGACGCCAACTTCGACTTCCCCGAAGGTACGCTACACTGTCAACTATCGATCAACAAACTCGATACAATTCCACAGCTGTTTTACTTAAATGAATACAATAATTCTTGCAGGATCAGGAGAGAGGCAGCCCACGGATGATATAACACCAGAGCCGGTGACGGAGCCGCGGCCGGCGGCTGTGACGGAGGCGCCGGTTGCGGCCGCGCCCGGCCCCGCGCCCGCGCAGCCCCCGCCCGGCGGCAGCGGGCGCGCGCGGCAGCCCGACACCAGCAGTGCGCGCGCGCCGCCCGCAGCCACCAGCGAGGCGCCGCGCGACACGGCGGGCGGCGCGGGAGGCGCGGGCGGGGCGGGCGGCGCGGGCGCTGTGGAGGAGGACGGCGAGGCGGCGGCGGGCGCCGCGGCGCGCCCCTCGCTCAGCAAGGCGCTGTTCACGTACGCGCTGCCGGTGGTCTGCGCCTGGTTCGGCACCATCGTCACTGACCTCTTCTAGACCCCTTCTCTCTGGCAACGTCCGCCGAACGGGTCTCTTATTTGTTGTGAAAAGGTTCATTTCAGTAATTTATTTTGCAATAAGTTATTTTACATTAGCGAATATTTATTAAAACCGATAATGTAAGTTTAAATTGAATAATTTATTTAATTTAAATTAGCAATGTCAAAATCATGACAACAATATATGAATGTAAGATTTAATAAAATTCTTCAATTTCTAATTAAGTTAAGCGAAACATTTCACATACACCTAAGAACCTGAAAATAAAAATTGTAGTTATTCAATTCGCCATGTTTAAAAAACTGGCAACACTGAATCCAATGACGTTGCCAAATTGAAACTCGGTTCGTGTGAAAGGGACAGCCTAGTCAGATGCGGCGGAGGGAGTGAGCGGGATAGCGCGCTGCTGTGATATGAGACAAGTTGCGGAATGTTGGTAGGGGTGAAGTACGTTGCAAAAAATCTATAGAAAAACATCGATATTTCATATATCTAATGCAAATAATTTGAGTAAATATTTAAAAAAATGTATACGCAAAAACAACAATGTTTTGTTACTTTGTACAATTATTTGTCCTACGATACTCATCGTAAACATTATAAAAGAAAAATCGCGCAATAATATATTTAATCGCTATCAGTTTTCCTTCTCGGGAAAAATGAATTTGTAATGTACACAATTTTATTCTAGTTAAATCTATTTTATGTTCTGTGTCATCTAACTGGAGAACTTACCTAAAGTGTCTGACAATAAAAACGGTATATTATTCTACTTTATAACATTGTGTTATGTCGCCGAGTTGAAAAGTTTGAAAGGAAGTATCCAGTCAAATCGTGTATTTATTAAATGATCTTTGTAAATAACTTGTAAATTATAATTAAATTAGATAGCGAATGTATGTTTTTTTAACGTTTTTTTATAAGTACACAGTATGTTCGGAGAATCTATGAACGTGTGACTTCGAAGTCATTTCTCTCAAACGTTGAGTTTCAGAACGATCTCTCGACTGTCAGTTTTAGTTTTTTTTGTAAATAGATTTTTGGCGCGAAGTCACATTTAGTTGTAATGTCAAATAAACTGTAAATAAAAATTAAATTTTACCCTAATCTTAATTTAAGAGACTGATTTGCTTTTCAATTGTTCTTTTCTCAATTAATGCAGCTAAAATTAGTACAGTTTTTATTTAAATTTCATATAGAAATCAATTTTAAATAATGATCAAATATTACATAGAAACAGGTTGTTTGTACATATATTTTTTTATTTCTATCAGACTAAGTTTTTATCGACTGACGTATTTTGCTTTACTTTTAATCTTTTTATACATTTATGATTTTGGCTTCAGCTTTACTTTGCTAGTTTTACAAAATTTTAATTTACAATGCATCACTAATGAACTTTTATTGAATTAAATTAGCATTAAAATATAGTCAAATTGGGATGCATTGAAAATTAAATGAATTAGAATTTTTAAATTATTTATAAGTCAATGTATATTTTACATAAGTTTACTCTTACATGCCATACTATCGATATAAATGCTTACTAAAGTCGAAACAAAATGGCGGGTGATGACGTCTAAAGATTCAGTACACATTTTTTGCTTAACATAAAAAACCGAGCTGTAGCTTAAAAACGCACAATATCCTTTATAATTCAGTCTGGAAATACCAGTGATGTACAAAAACTGATATAGACAGTGTGGTATTTTAAACTAAATGAAATCGTAAAACAAGAAAATACCTGTTAACAGTAAAAAAAGTAACTTTTTTCAATGTTACAATAATACTGTGTATTTCGTTGTTTTTGTACAACACTATTGTAATTTGAAAATTATTTTTTATTGTATGTTTAGAAAATATTTTTCCAAATGTAAAATACGAATATGATAATAAAATGTTATTATTTCATAATTAAATGGATTTTTTCTTTTTTTATTTTATTTGTCTAATAATGTATCACGCTATCTATTTTATTGCATTTATTTAAGCTTTTATCGTGAGACTTTGATATTTTTAAATATAATTTAAGCATTATCCATGTTACATTGGCAGTAAAGAAATTTGCGTGAGGGGGGACCAAAAAAGAGATGCGCAAAGTTGCATTCTGCAATTGCACATGCAAAATAAAAGGAAGTATTTCACAATTTGATCGGTATCTTTATCATAATTTTAATTGAATTGCTTATGGTATTATAAAAAGTTTTCGACCATAACACCAATGCTTTGATAACCTTAAAAACGTAATAAATAAATGTTTAAAGAATTTAAGTTTTATTCCAGTTTTCACAATTTAATGGATCGCAAAATGGAAAATGTTGATTTGTACATATTAATCGTAATATTAGTTATCGAAAATGTTTTAAAACAACTTTCTAGTTAAATAGTTTTTGTACGATTTGATGAAATTTTTTATTAACAGGGTATCAAGTTGAGAATATCAAATCACGAACGCGCCCTCTAGCGTTTGTTCTTCACAATAAAAGTGAAAAGTCTTGAAGATACGTAAATGTTACTTGAATTCTATAAAATATACTATTATATTAACTTATGTAGTTACTCTGTATATAAATAAACAATTAAATGTCTATTGAAGTTTTTTTTCTACCCAATACTTTAGATACAACCAAAGACTAAATAAATCATAACTATTTTGAGGAAAAAGAAACTAATTTTTGATTCTTTCTCATATTTTATTTAAAAAAAAAAATTAAACAAAATTTTCCTTAATAGTAAATATAGACCAAATTCAGATATAAAAATTTTTCAATACCAGTATTATTCGTTGTACCTACAAAGAATAACAAAATTTGATATTTTTATTCAGATTTCAATTTAATTTAAGAGATGTTCACTTACAAGTCTCCGAAACTGGAGCCACACAAAATACTAATCACTTTAAAACAGTGGTTTGCAAAATTATTGCAATATTATGTAATTCATACATACAAAAGTTTCCGAAACTAATCGAATTTCAAGAAGTTTAGGGCTTGTCCCACCACCGCCTGATAGAGGCTCAGATAGCTTACAAATGACACTGTCAGATAAGGGAACAAAATTCGATATTTCCATCACGTATTTTACACATTTTATTGTTATCAGACAATTTACAATTTTGTGGGACATGCCCTTATTCTTATAAATTATATGCGTAAAATGTTTGTGTAACTATTTTAAACACTTTAACACTTATCACTGACACTTTCACTGGTTTATTGTTCGTCAGAATCATCACTGTCAGACTCGTCGTCAGATCCGTCAGAGTCATACTCTGAGTCTGAGCCGAGCCAGTCCGGCAACTCCGGCTGGGAGATTATCGTCTTCCACTCGTTTAGCTTATGTAGATCTGTCAACAGAATTTTTATTAGTCATATTTAATCAAATTATATTTGATTAAATATGACTAGATTACGTTTTTGAACACCTTATTATGTATTTCGTATTCAGTCAAATGAACACCAACAAAATATTACTTAAACGAATTCTGGATAATTCATTTTAAATAAAGTCATGCAGTAAAGTAATCTATTGCCAATATAAAAACAATTATCAGTAAAAAGAAAATCTACAAGTAACCAAGGTCATTTGAAGGGTCATTGACTTGTCTGATTTTTAATCTCTTTTTTTACTCTTTATTTTCTAACAGAGTGAAACTATTCTAAAGAGACCAAAGAGTATATGTAATCACCTAGACTGTACATATCTCCGAGATAGAACTGCTTGTCATCCTTCTCCAGCACGCCGCCGTACACATACAGCACGGAGCGGTGCGCCGCCAGCGCCGCCGACATGCGCGCGCACGGCCCGCCCCCCGCGCGCCCCGCCCCGCACACACCGCGCTCCGCCCCCGCACCCGCCCCCGCCCCCGCCTCCGCCACCGCACCACCCAGCTTTATTGTGAACACCTCGTCCGTTATCACTGTAATATAAACTCGCTAATAGTATCAGATTTCATTTCACTTATTCTATGTAGGGCAAGTACCAAAGAGATTAAAAAATTATATACAGGATGCGTTGTTGACAGTTCACTTGAGACATTTTTCACATGATCCACTAACGCTGCCTATTGATAGGTCCTCAAAACCACATGTCAATATAATTTTGGATGGAGCTTATCATAATTTTGTAAAATGTTTTATAACATGTGAATAAAAGGACATGAGGTGGACTAAACTTGACAACATAGTACCTTACACAGTTACCGGTAAAAAAATATTGTTCACTATGTCTAGTTTACGTATTTCTTAAATATCTTTTTAAGTAGAATTAGCTCATAAGATGTGTACATAGGCGTCACTAGAAGTGTTGGAGATACTTTAGGGACAAAAAAAATGCTAATTAGATGTATTTTTGAAGTCTTGATCTCCAGCTGGTGACACCGATGGTATACCTGTGACGGGTTCCGGGCACGGCTGCTCGATGGGCGTGTCTGGTACCACAGGTGGGCGTGGCTGCTCGGAGCGCAGCGTGACAGCATGCCAGCGCGCTGTCTCCAAATCCAATACGGACAGGTCGTCGCTCATTTCACCTTTAAGCTCTTCTTCTGTCTCTTCTACATCCTACAATGGATAAAACGAACTAAAGACTACATTACTTCTATAATTAACATAAAATAAAGTAGAAAGTCGTCGAACCACCTAGACGGGGCACATTTTCCGTACATGATATCGAGGATTGACAAATGTGACCAGACTTTGAGAACTATGTCGTCTAACTTTGACCGTTAATTCGATAGTGACCAGTGTGACGAACTAATTTAAAAAAAAAGGCTGTACTTTAGAGAAAAATACGTCAGATTTTGATTTTAGTCTGTTAACATTTTTTTTTTAAAGGCCACATTCTGTATAAGATATTGGGCAAACCTACATCCAGTGAGCAGAAAAAAGCTGATGATTAAGATGATGAAGAGGAGGCTGAAAGTAAGTTAATACTTACATTAACGCCACCGAATACATAGGCCCTGTTAGCGTGCACGTTAACAGCGGCAGCGAGGCCAGCGCGCGCCGGCCGCGCCCCGCCGCCCAGCGCGCGCCACGCCCCGCCCCCGCCCCCAGCCCCGCCCCCGCCCCCGCCACAGCTCAGCCGGAACATGTCCGTGTGCGTGCACGCGCGCTCCACACGACCCTCACGCACGCGAGAGAAACCACCGTATATTATCACCTGTATCACAAATACATCAATCTTTACTAATATTATAAAGAGGAAAGATTTTTGTATGTATCGGAATCTCAAAAACTTCTCAATAAAAAGCTACGATATCAGCATAGCAAATCGCGAGCAACAGCTAATATTTTACATAAGTTTTTTTATATATTCTTAAACCATAAAAACTTAATTCTCGAGTATAAATCCGCCACTTTCAGCATATTATAATGCTATATTATATTTACAAAAGTTTTTTTTTTTTATAAGATAAGGTGGCAAACGAGCAAACGGCCACCTGAAATCGCCAAAATGGCGAAGTGACCGCTGCCCATAGACATCCGCAATTGCAGATGCGTTGCCTACCCTTATCCGACGGAGGAGGAGACGCACATAAAGAGGATATTTCCCCTTCTTATGAATCTCCTCCACTGTCAAATCCACTTCCTCTTCCCAACCTCTTTTTAAAAGGAAAGGGTGGTAAAGAGAAAGGGACTTAAATTAGGCCTCCAGCACCACACTCATCAGACGAAACACGGAATTGCTTCCATTTCACGACTGTCTTCTGTGTGGTCGTGGTATTACACCGGGCGTGCCGGCCCTGCAGTGCTAAGATGTTAAAGCGGGCACTACCACCAGTTTTGATGAATGGATTTTACTACGTATCTTACAAATGGCTTAACGGATCTCGGGTAATTTAGACACAGATATAAAACATATTCTGAAAGAACACATAGACTAGCAATAAAGTTTTTTTATTTAAACTTTTATTACAAGCTAAAGTACTTTATAAACATATAAAAAGAGATTTACCGAGTCATTCCCCGCAGGTAGCATAAGACAGGCTGATCTTGGACTGGGCCCTCTGCCATTAGGTGTGATCTTCTCCCAAGTCCTAGTATCCAGGGAGAAGGCGTACAGATCATCATGGTAGCGACACTCGCGGCCGTCATCGCAGTACCCGCCGAACACAAGCAGCCGCCGCCCCACCAGCGACATACGGTGTCCGGACCGTGCCGACGGACCATTCGGAGCTACAACCTAACAATAACATTTGACTTGTTATCTACAGGTCTTGGATTTGGCCTTACTTACAGTAAAGGGAAACATCGTTATGCCTGCACATATCAGAGAAGAAATTCAAAGAAATGTGTGAAGTCAACCAAACTGCAGTGGGCCAGCGTGGTTGACCATGGCTTATTCCTTAACTTTGGGAAGGTTCAAAGCCCCTCAACGGGGACATATAGTGAGCTGGTGACAATCTTATCTACCACACTTATACCTAGTAAAATGTTTCCAAAATTAATGTTAGTATAATACCTTTTCCCATTTCTTCTCTGCAAGTGAGAAACACCACAGATCCTTGTAATGGTAGAACTGAGTCTCTGAAGGGCTTGTGAACTCCCCGCCAAACACCCATAGTTCACCTCTGGGAATACAATTAATTAATAAAAGGCTGTTTTAAGGAAAAATGAATATTGTCATATTCATGGAATGTGTCCCACATGGTCAATGGCATCTTGTATAAGTCAGTTTGATATTCAAAACATAATACATCTCTTATTGGATCTCTATATAAGATCTATATCAGAAGAATTCTCTTTTGTAGGTAGACTAGTTTTTGCACACAACTCCATCCTTGTAAAATTTAAAAAAATTAGTAAGTAGTCTATGTGTTCTTCCAGACTATGTTCTATATCTATTTCATCGAGATCCATTTAGGCTACCTTTAACAAACAAACATCCATCTATCCAAACATTCACATTTATAATAATAGTGTGATGTTTCTGTTTAAACTAGTCCTTAGTCAGAGCAGAGTGGAGACACCTACATGGTCTATAACTTACTTATTAGCAGGTGTAGCTACAGCTTGGTGAGCGCTGCGAGGTGGAGGTGCACCAGGAGCCTTTATTTGTCGCCAGTTATTGCTTACCGGATTGTAGAATATCAGCTCATTGTATACTTCTGTCTGAAATTATTTATAGCAGATTACAGTGTACCCTTTAACACATATTTCTATGTTACAACCAATTGATAAATTATCAAAATACTTATGTTTACTTTCACAGTTATTAATCTAAGATATAAATAAATGTATTTATGTCAAATCCATACCTTTTGGCCATTATGATATTCACCACCAAATAATATAAGTTCATTGAGCGTGGGATGCGGCGTCAGTGAGGCGTACGCTCTAGCACTCGGAGGCCCTGGTAGACTTTTCTCACTAGCCGCCGCACGCTTCGCTTCTTCCCGTTCTATTTGCGCTACAACTTTAGCTATATCTTCCTATAAATAAAAACATTTAATATCGCTACTACATTTAATATATCGTATAATACTAGTAATATAGTTATAAAGGCGTAACTAATAATAAATAATATTAAACAAATGTTTAGTAACCTCTCCCAAGTTTGCTAGTTCCTTTTTTAACTTATTTGCTAACTTCTTCTCTGTTTTCGCAGCGGTCTTTACAGCACCGCTTACTTTATTTTTATTTTTCTTCTTACCCATTTTGATGTTTTAAAATTCCTAACTTATTATAAATATTTAGTTTTATTATTTTTCCATAACCTATAACACATGTAAACTTAAATGACAGTTGACATTGACAGTGCCGGAATGGGTCCAAATCCGAAAACTTAGAACAATTTCCGTTTGTATCAATGTGTAAATGTGATATCAGAAAATGCCTTGCCTTAGATTTAAGAATTGCACTTTTACAATAACACCATTCCTAATTTATAAAAATCATGAAATAATAAATTGTTTTAGGAACGTTTTAGATTTGTTTCCGTTTCCGTTTTATTGTCATTTATTTGACTTTGACATCTATTAAAAAATAAAAACTGGCTCCGAGAACTCTGTAACTGTATTCGTGTATTTTTCCATAAATCTGAAATCAGATTAACAATCTAATTAAGGGACCCCTAACCAATATGTTAAAACTAGAAGATTGTTCTATTGTTATTCAATGTTAATTCCTAGTTTAGTATAAGACTGCAATTTTTGTTGTAAAAGTTGTGACATATAGTTTTAAGTTGTACTTTCTAGTATAAAAACATAATGAATAACCCTCCAGGAGGAGCATCGGTAAATATATTTTTGTTTATTATCAACAATTTAAAATACTTCAATCTATACTCATTTTCTTGCAATTTTAAGATATCATTTTTCTGACATTATTTTCTTATGTGAAGATTTATTTCATGGGATACATTGGAAACAATTAACTAAGGGAAATAATTTAACCTAATACGGCTAATAGAAAAAGTCCAAATTGAAACTGGTAGTTTGTTTTAATTCAAATTTTCTATTACTTGCCACATAGGCAATTTAGGTCGTCATATTTTCACAATAAATTTAGACAGTACATAAATCCCTTGAATGTTATGTATGTATGCTTGAATAACATTATGATTAATATTTGCAATAGTGTATTCAAGTATAATTTGATTCGTTAACTTATTTTTCAAACATATCTTTGTATATAGTACAATGTCAAAATAACAAAGTTCAGCACTTTTAGTCCCACTTCTCTTCCTGCAATAGGACAATCTATCTTGGGGCAATAGTTTCTGCTATTACTAGTGTGCATTTTGCAAGTGATCTTCAGCATATCATTGAAAAAGCATACTCCTCCCTTAAAGGCCCACAGTGCATCTGCAGTTCTCTCGGTGTCATGGATGTTAATGGGCGTCAGATCAAACATTAAACGATCCACTGCTCGTTTGCCCCCTTTTACTATAAAAAGCAATTGTTACAGTCTCAAGATGCGGCAGTACAAGAATTCACAATAAGAGTGCCAAAGAATATTAAAAAGAAACATCATGTGATGAGATTCAATGCCACACTAAAAGTGGACTTTGCAAAATGGACTCATGTTAAGATGGAACGAGAGAATAATATCAAGGAATTCAAAGGGATTGAAGAAGAAATGCCAAAGTAAGGAAGTTTATATCATTTGTATTGAGAACCTTAATATTGTTGCCATTGGAAATTTCCAATTTTAGTAACAATGTAGATTCAAAACTTCAGATTGATGGATCCAGTTGTTTAATAGAAGGTTTCTGTAGACTCAACTCATCTCAATGAAATTGGCATGGATGTGACAAAATCTAGAAGACCACATACATTGTGTTTTCTTCTTGATTTTGTCAAGTGACACATCTTACTAATATTATAAATACGAAAGTTTAGATTGATGGATGTTAGAGTTTGTAACTTAAACAGCTGAACATGTCTCGATGAAATTTGGCATAGATGTAGAGGATAGTCTGGAAGAACACATAGGCTACTTCCTTTTTTTTTTATTCCATGCGGACGGAGTCGCGGGCGAAAGCTAGTAAACTATAAATGTTATCTGTAATGTTTATGTATGTAAGATAGTGATGTACTAACAAAAATATCAGATATGGTGCAGGCTCGGAGTACGGGCGAGATCTGCGGGAAGAGGCTCGCCGCAAGAAGTTTGGCATCACATCTAGGAAGTACAAGCCTGAAGATCAGCCGTGGATCCTTAAAATTGGTGGCAAGAAGTAAGTGGAGATGTAAAAACAATGCCAAATTTAATGAAGCATCATTTTGCTAAATAGATAATAAATTTAGATAATCATATGAGCCTGAGATCATCTATCAGTCTGTACTTGCCTCGCCAATGCTGATGGATAAGCTAAAAAAAAAAAATTGTCAGTAAATGGGTTGATGTAAGATTGCTATGTGTGCTATGACCCTTATTTTGACTTGTTAATATGATATATTAGAACTTTGTAACACTGACTCTATTTTCTTGCCGATATTCAACATTAACTTACTTAAATATGTTTAATTTTTTTTTTTTAATATTTCAACAGGTTCAAAGGTATCCGCGAAGGTGGTGTGTCAGAGAATGCTGCATATTACGTGTTCACTCACGGTGTTGGCAACACTATTGAAGCATTCCCTTTGCTTGAATGGTAAGTCTACATTGTATTCCAAATGTTTGAACCTACTTATCATTTATTTAGCAAGTTTCCGAGATTTTTTTATGAGCTTTATGTATACTAATGTAAAGAAAGATTTGTATTTTGTAATTCGATTAGACATTGCCTTTAGAAAGCTGCAATATTACTGTTACATAGGTTATATATTTTTTTCTTTGGTGTAGTAATTTCTTAAGTAAAAAAAAAGAGTAAATTTATTTCTAGAGATCTCTAAATAGATTGTTCTCTACAATTTGAATTACTTGTAATTTCTAGTATAGTACTTTAACCAAATAATTTTATAGCAAACTAGCTTTCGCCCTCGACTCCGTCCGCGCGGAATAAAAAAACAAAAGCAAGTAGCCTATGTGTTCTTCCAGAGTAGCCTCTATGTCTATGTTAAATTTCATCAAGATCCCTTCAGCGGTTTACGCTACAAACACTAACAAACATCCATCCATCTGAACTTTCGCAATTATAATATTAGTAAGATGTATTTATATATAATACCTAAATTAAGTACAGATTTAAAAATATAGTTATGTAATCCCAGGTACAACTTCCAACCTATACAAAGATATAAGGCATTATCCGCTGAAGAAGCTGAACAAGAATTTGGAAGGTACACTTTTTATATGTGAATAGTATAAGAAATATGTTCTAAATGAAATAATTTCATGTTTGTATATTGAAATTTGTTGATATAATTTTCGTAGAGCGTCGGTGACTCAGTGGTAAAGACACTTGACTTGTAATCACGTGGTCTTGGGTTCGAATCCCACTGTACCAATGTGATTTTCGATTTTTCTAATTTGCATATGTACTTAATTTACCCGACTTTCTTACGGTGAAGGAAAACATCGTGATGCCTGCACATATCAGCGAAGAAATTCAAAGATATGTGTGAAGTCAACCAACCTGCAGTGGGCCAGCGTGGTTGACTATGACCTAGGTACCCTAACTTTATGATAGGCTCCGAGCCCCTCGGTGAGGACATATAGTGCTGGTGATGATGATGATGATATAATTTTCAGACGGAATAAAGTGATAAATTACTTCTCCCTGATGTTTCGTAAGCGCATGCGCGGCGAGGACGGCGCAGATGACGGTGATGACCCTGATGAGAAGAAGCCCAAAGGAGCTAAGGCTAAAAAAGGTCACATATTTATATTATAACATTATTATTAGCGTTCTCCCGCGACTTTACGGGTGAAATAAAAAAAATAAAAAATGTAGCCTATGTAACTCAAGGATAATGTAGCTTGTTAAGCATATTTGTAGAAGAAATATAAGATTTTTTTAATTCCGCCCAGTAGTTTTTGAGTTCAATATAAGCAGAAATATAATTCTTTCGTTTTTATATTAGCATAGTTTACTTATAGCTTATAAGAGAAATTTAATTACTGTTTGGATTTTCATAAACAATATTCGACAATAAAATGTTGATAAATCATTCAGTATATTAAATATGCATAAATTTCTCATAATTTAGGAGAATTATTAATTAATATATTAATATATTAGCGGTCGTTCACAAACTCTGTTCGGAATTAAAGAAAAAAAGGATGTTTATATTTTTTTAAATTTCATGCTAAAGAAGTCGCAAGCAACAATTATTTATGAGTAATTATTTTTTTTAAATCTATTCATTAAATTTCAGAGCTGAAAATATCAGAGATGGATGAATGGATGGCGTCTGATGATGACTCCGATGACGACTCGGAGGAGGGGGACAAGGACAACGACAGCGACTCCGGCGCTAAGAAGAAAAAGGACAAAAAAGGTTTAAATTCCATACTTTAGTAGATTTTCATAAATTAAATTATGTATCCCGGGGTGGCATTTTGTGTGCCATTTATGACATATTTTGGCAAGTTATTTGATGGCCCGTCTAAGATGTCATTAAAAATTTCTTTAAAAAAATGGCACTTTGATGCAAAAATATTCCTATATATAATTGTTATGTTATTTAAAGCGGCACTAACTAAGAAGAAGAGGAAAGTAGATGATGAAGCCTTCGAGGAAAGTGATGATGGTGATGAAGAAGGCAGAGAAAAGGACTACATATCTGACTCATCGGAAAGGTAAATATTGTAAAATGTACTTTAACAGATTGCAATAAGATCTAATTTTGATCTAATTGGAACCATTTTGCATGAGATGTATGGATTGCATTAATTTTTAAACTGTGGAATTAAATGGATTGGAAAAAATAACTTAGTTTAGTTTTTTTACACTTTCAGTGAATCAGATCACGAGTCTAAGGCGAATAAGGAACTGAAAGGTGTCGCTGAGGAGGACGGACTCAGGTAATTAATATCTTACCAATCTATCCACTAATCTTACTATTATAATAATGCGTAAACACACACTTCTTTGTTACCTAAGATGTCAGAAATTGCACCATATTATTTAATAATTCTTTTTTTAATAAAATGCCCTACACTTACGTCACGCTTTAGGCTATCTATTTTCACGCCATTAAACTTAGGGGGTAAATATTTTGCATAAAAATCGTAATGTGGGAAAGAGGTCATATGTTGCTGCCAACATCAAGAAAGAAATCTGCTAAGGTTTGTCATGTCATGTCATTTTGACATTTGCTATTGATAATTTGACAAATTAAACAATAAAAAAGAGTTTGTATAATTACATGAGGATGAAGCCACACGGGAACATCTAGTAAATATTATAAAAGCGAAAATTTCGATTGTTGGATGTTTGTTAGATTTTGTAACCTAAATGGCTCTTGATTAAATCTAGAATAAATATAAAGAATAGTCTGAAAGCAGACATAGGCTACTTGTTTTTGTTTTTATTTGTAACTCCACGCGGACGAAGTCGCGAGCGAAACATAGTTGTTTGTTAAACTATTAAATTGTTAAAAATACTATGCAAGTTTACACAAAGATTTTTTACGAATTTTACGTTACCAAATCTCTGATAATTTTTCTAAGGATTGTAATAATTTTACAGAAAGAAGCAAACATTTGTTTCATAATTATTAACATATCTATGAGTAAATTATTATTAACGTCTACGTCTCAGTGGTTATTCCAATATTAGTCTGATTACGTATAAATTAAAATTTATTTATAACATTTGTTAGGAAAATCCTAACATCGGAGGAGGAGTCGGAGGAGGAGCAGGAGCAGAAGCAGGAGTCGGAGCAGGAGGACGAGCCCACCAAGGAGGGGGAGGAGCGCGCCAGCAAACTCACTAAGAAGGCCAAGAAGAAGGGGGATGAAGGCAAGAAAGGTACACAAAGCTGATACACTTTAAAATTAAATTAACCTAAGTAAGCCAAGAAATTAAAATAATCCCATTTTACTTTACACTATAAGTTAATTAATAGTTAGTTTTCTTGGCAAAAAGGAAATAAAAAAATCAAAAATTGAATTGTACCTCCTTCTTTGAGGTAAGTTCAAAACATATATTTTGTCAATTTTGTGTAATACAGCAGTAATATTGCAGTGGATTTGTTTTGTATTTCAAACTTTTTAATTTTCTGTTTTTAAATAAAAAATTCTTTGTTTTTTTTTTCTAAATACTATGTTGAAACATTTGATAGTCGAGTATTTGTTAGAATTAAGAAGAATCATTAATTAATGTAATGTTTCTTATGTTAATATTTACCAGAGTCGAGCAGTGAGTTCAGTTCTGATTCCGACACCGACCCTGAGACCAGCGGACCTAAGAAGACCAAGAAGACAAAGACCAGCGAAAAGAACGCGCCCGCGGCTAACTCAGGTGATTTTTATAACGAATCTTAACTAGATATCATGTATTTAAAAATGCTAATGATATAGTTATGCAGTAGTTAAATTTGTCATTCAGATTTAGTTTATTTGTAAAATGTCATGAGTAACATTGGTCTATACAAAATTAACATCTAGTAAAATCGACTCTATTGCAAAATTTTTGACTTTGTGCCTCCTCCATTAAAGTGCACATACTTTTGCCCCCAATGTGGAGGTGTATACTTTGCCCCTATGAGGAGGTATCGACTTTGCCCCTATCAGGAGGCGCAAATTTGTGCCTTCAATGAGAAGATGCAGATTTGTGCCCTCAATCTTAACGCACAGTCCTGTGTCTCCCAATGTAGAGAAGCAGATATGTATCCCCAATTTGGGGGGCACGGACTTGCTGTGGCATTAGATAGTGAACCCACGTTGGTATTATTGGGCCTTGTGTGTAGCGCCGGGTTCTGCGAGCACGTCTCGCGCGGGCACGCCGCAGCCGGGGGGCGCGGGCGGGGGCGGGGGCGCGGCGGCGGCGGTGGCGGCGGCCAACGCGGCCAGCGCGCACCCCCCCAACAAGCGAGTCAAACTTGATGCTGCCTACACGTAAGTATTCTACTCTATATTCTAATCTATGCTCGAATTCTGACATCATCGTTTGTTGTCTATGGTTTTTTGTGACGTTGTATAATCTATGAAATTTGTCTTTTCTTTTTAATTCGACTATACAATAATACCTACGAGATGCAGAAATCTGTTTATTTTGTTTAAGCAGGGTATCTTTAGAAACAAATTATTTAGCCCTAGTATAACATTTGTGTGGCTATGGTTGTTTTTGGCTTGTTTGAAGTATGTCTATTGAGGTGTGATGTGTTTGTGTGCAGCGAGTGCGGGGTGACGGAGGAGGCGGTGCGGCGCTACCTGGCGCGCAAGCCGATGACCACCACGGAGCTGCTCACCAAGTTCAAGTCGAAGCGCACCGGGGTCAGCAGCGACAGACTCGTCGAGACAATGACGCAGATACTGAAGCGCATCAACCCCCTCAAACAGAACATCAACGGCAAAATGTACCTCAGCATCAACCATACTTGATGAATAAACTTGTCAATTCATTGTCTTGTTTCTTTTATTTGTCCACTCTGTTAGGTTTTTTAATCTATGGTAGTATGGCGGAATGACAGTTGGAGGATCATAGATTATAAAAGTATTAAACATTATTTTTTCTTAATTTTATTTTTAAAATATGGTGCCGTACATACGGTAATACATTTTAGGTTTTTCCTAACTTCAATCTTATTGAAAATTAATTACATAGTCATAAATATCTTATTCAATTATCATATTCTTACGTAACGTTTCTTAATCTTCTCTTACGTAATGTTTACATGTTTATTTCGACGTTAACTAGCGCTTAAAACTAATCCAAAAACAACAATTGTTACTGACAAAAATATTTCGCATGAATTATGTGATGAGCGCTTTTTCTTTCTCATTCAAATCACGTTCTTCCTCAGCTTTTCTGAAACGAACATTTTTACATAGAATAGTCTATTTTTCATGTGGAAGAAAAGGGATGTTTCATAACCGCTTAAGATGGAAATCAGTGGTTTCTGCCACCCCCTTCGGATTTGTGTTATAGTTGTTGAAGTTAGTCTATCATAAAGTAAAATAATAGAGTTTCGTAACAAAACATCTCCCATCTCAGTCTTACCCGCAGAGAGTGTGTGACCTCATGATCTTCTCTCCTTCAGCGATGGTTTGCGGCATTGGCCGGCCCTTGGTCTCCGGCAGCAAGAAGCAGAAGCTGCTCGCCGTCAACGCGATCGAGCCCAACGTCAGCATTGGGAACGGACCCCAGATACGTGCCTAACAAACATTAACCAAATCACAATATTATAGGCTAGTGTAAGTTTACATCTGAACTACATCTACACATGAAACTGGTTAGAATTTTCTATAGTCGAATTAGATCTTTTGATTTTAACATTCTTCTATCTTCTTGGTTTCTTCTCTTATTCTTTTACCGACATCTTTCTTTCCTTACAAAAAATATAGCGTTTAATTTTTTTTAAGAAAACAAGGTCATGTGATTTTGTAAACATATGTTTATATAAAAGTAGTTTACCGAGTAGACTATCAATGGTGAGAGCATGTTGGCGACGTAACCGCTAACGTGCACGAGAGACAGGCCCGAGGCGCGCGCGCCAGTCGGCACCAGCTCGGTACTCCATTGCACCGCCGCCGTGCACGCCATGTTGATTGCGAACCGGGAACCGATCGCCAATATCATTTGTGGTAGACCTGGAAACATGAATATTAAAAAAAAGAAAATTAAACCAGAGACTTAACAACAAGTTCTCTTATGCCCAGTTAATAAAATTCCCAGTTAGTTAAACCCTTGTTAAAATTAGAAGCAAAATAAATGATATGTACCTTTAGGCACGAAAGCTGCGGTTACTGTAAATATTCCTGTAATAACAATAGGTCCCATCGCGAGGTTCCTTCTTCCTAACCTGCGAAATTAAATTACAAATAAATAATAGCCTTAACTTATTTAATTAATAAATTTTACCCAACAAGTGTGTTCAACAATACTCTAACCTGTCCAGTAAGACAGCAACAAGCCCCACTGATGGTATTTGCGTAGCTGAAGCGAGGGTAAACGCCAGGAAGAAGTCGAGCCCCAGACCCTCGGACATGCGCACAAGCCCGTCGAAAATCACCATACAAGCCATGTAGATTACCATCAGTAATAACATCATCTTCCGCAAAGGGGCGCTTTTGAACACGTCGATTATAGATTCCCTCTCTCTGGCTTGACTTGATGATACCTGACGGAATATTCAATTATTGGCTTGCAATATAAAATAACTTACATATCAACAAGAAGTAAGTAAAGTAACTTACAATAAATTCATCCATAATGTTCTGTGGGACTTTTGTGCGGTTGATTGTCTCGAATCTTTTCAATACTTTAACAGCTTGGCTCACTTTGCCGCGCGATGCGAGCCATCTGAAAAAATGAGTGCAATATTGGTTTTCTGAATAGATTTAGAATTTTGTATATTACGTAGAAAAAAACTATATTTAGTTGTAAATGTTATTAATTAGAAGTGCTGTCGTTACAGATGCTTTAAGCTTTTGAAATAAATTACTCTAATCACCTAGCGCTCTCCGGTATTAGGAAAGGCACCAGCAAACACGATGACAGCGGCAATGTAGTGTACCAGAGGAACTTGCGCCAGTCCGCGATCCAGTACGCCAGCCAGGGGATCAGCAGGAAGCTACCGCCGAAGAAGAAGGCGATTGGGAAGTTCGCCGCCCACGTCCTTTGCTTAGGACCCACGTACTCTAACACTATGAAGGACAAAGATCGCAATGTTTTTGACTATTAATGTTTTAATAAAGTAACTTAAAGTTAGAAGGACGTATGTATGTGGATTTAAATAGATAAATAAAATATGTGAAAATCTCACCGAGTATATACAACAACATGAAGCAGTTATCAAACGCCATTCCAACGAGGAATCGACAGAAGATAAAATCCCATAGTCCCTTTGTGAATATAGTGCCCAAGCCGCCAACGCACGCTATTAGGTTTGAACCTGGAAGTAAAGTTAACTGTAGAATATACATTTAATATCAAACTAGCTCAGAATATTAGTGAAATTAACTATTAAACAGTTTCAATACCGAAGTACCTACTACAACTTTGTCTTATATATTAACAATAATATGAAGTTGATTTTAATCTTGATCTTTGGTCCAATTAGCATATAAATCTTTGTAATATCATTAAACCTTACCGACCAAAGCTGGAACCCGTCCGAAATGATCTGCTGCCCATCCGAATATAATACCTCCGGTGAAGGAGCCCACGAAGTACATTGTCTGAGCGAACGGCGCGTAGCCGGCGTACTCGCACACCCAGCCCCGCTGACGAATTACATGTATTGAATTAAATAACAATATATCCCTGTACCACTTTAAGCAATTCAGTAGTATACACTTAACGAGCCTCACATATTTTCAATGGTGCAGCTTTCTCCTTCTGATTAAAACTCACCTCGCTGACGACGGTATGATATGGAATGTCTCCCAGCTTAAAGTCCCAACCGTGTTGACAGGGTACCGTGGGTGTACTGGGCTCCGGTGGCTGCATGGCGTCCAGCACGTTGCTCCAGTTGGCCGCGTACACAACGCACTGCGCCCAACCTTCCCCAACGCGGGGTACAGACAAGTTGCGTCTAAAAAGATGTTAAAGTAATTCCATTCGTGTTTTTCAAGAAGCAAAAATAATTTGGTTTTTGTGTACATGTAACTATAAGCATTAGAAATTCATGATAAAAATACTATTGGAAATATCCGAAGAGCATTTGGAATTACAGGACGTGTAAAAGTCTTTCTGACCTGGTCTCCAAATCTAAGTGTTCCAACTCCGGTACATGGCACCAGTGCTGCTGCGGTGTGGCCGTGATGAACATTTGCCCGAAGTATATGAAGGTAAAGAACAGACTGAACGGCAGCATGGAAAGGAAGAGCAGTTTCTGGTAGCGGCCCATCTCCCCAACGTGGAAGAGCACCCGCTCCAGCGCATCGCTGCCTTCCGCTTCTTTCTTCATCTCTTCTTTATAGCTCTACGAAAAAAATATGTTGGAAAGCTAGTCAGTTTCATAAACTATGACAGCCGAAGAATTAAAGAAATAATATACTCTAGATACTCTAGATATACTCTATTTTAGAGTATATTATTACCTAGATTACCTAGAAAATTGTTAGCTACATTGTTTTTAATTACTAAGTAGGTACACTTAATTTTACTTGTTGATATAAACGCATGTATTAATTACTGGTTTAATTTTTACACACGGCAATACTATAGATAATCCCATTTCGATGTTGTAATCTTTGCATAAGTTTATCTCGATGTTATTACGAAATATGCAATAAAAGTCAAGTTTAGGATACCAAATGGATGTTCATACTAATCTGATAATAAGCGCCTAATTTAGTTGGCCTGTTGACAATTGGACAGCGATAAACTTTATTACGATAGTAAAGTTGTATTTATGACACATGTTGAAGCACAATCATTGTTTGTAATGCTATCTAGCTTAGCTAAGTGCGATGGGCGTCGCCAACCGTTAGCGATGATAGTGTTAAGTGACCCTACAATCAATAATCGAATTTTAGTTGTGATTCACTGCGGCAAGTAAAATTATAATTCTTCATCTGGTGCGGCTGCGTGCAAATTCGCCCTCAATGATATTTCCGCCAGTGCGTAGCAGGTCTTACTTGACCCACCAGCACTAGGATAGATTAAATAGTTACAACTTTTTGGAAACATAATGTATACATTTTATGTAATGTAGTATACATCTGAGATAATCGTTTCGCTCTAGCAAAAGCGAGATAGTTTTCTTCGTCTGTACCCCGTCTGGTTGATATCGGCCTGTTACGGATACGTGTTAAAAATTGATAATTTAAGAGAACTTAAAAGCTTTAATGTTTGTACATTTTTCTTTAGTATTTTGAATTACTATGATGAGTTGAGCTTTTAAACTTTTAACAAAAATCACAACAGATTACGTTACTGAAACTTTACCGTTAACTTTACGAGCTTGTACGAAAAATTTAAAAATGTTCTGGTATGAATATTTCGGCAGTGGAATTGTCGCGTTTTTTTTTCATAACAATACAAACATAACAAACCTCAACATAATCTGGATCGTCGTTTTCTACTTTAGTCAAAATCATCTTGAAAATTAACACAAAAACATATAACAACTGTCTGTTTGTAAAACCGTTCGTCACCAGCTGCCGGCCGAGGATGAGTGATCGCGGGGTTCGCAGCGTCCACATATTTACAACCGTTGGATTCTTGATAAAAAGAATTTCGTAATTAGACCCATAATTTTGAGATTAGCCTCAAGCCAGACACCTTCCGATGTACAATGTGTACATAAGATTTTAAATGTACATAATTGTTTATTTGCTAGTTATGTAAGATTTAAGAAAATCCACGCCAATCAGTTAAAACTAATCGTATGTTCGATTTCAGCAAACTTATGTCAAACTGATATTAGATGCTTGATCCAACGGAAAAATGTCATAATCCTTATATTGAAGGAATGAATGAATGAATATGTATTTATTTCCACAAAATAGAAATTACATAAAAGAACTTATTCTACAGGAAACACAATCGTGGCAAAAGGAAGACAGCTCAGCGAATGCAGGACGGAATAAGCCGTTCCTGCGCTGATTTTCAGCTGGCTCCTTCGCACTCAAGGAACATATAGCTTAATCATTAGGCTAACCGTCTGTACTAATTACATATCTATACAGAAATAAAAAATAAAAAATACACTTTTAAAAAAAATTAAAAAAAAAATCAAACAAAAATGGGACATCATAAAGAAAAAATATTAAGTAGTTCCGTAATACGTATTAATTATTGTCAATATACTTAGAATTTATTTGGAAATTTAAATTAGGCCCAGTGCGTTTTCTAATGACCCCCCCCCCCTCAATCTCGCACATCTATCTTGTCTGTATGAAACGATAAACATTAAACTCACCAGTAAGGATGTTTGCTGTTAAGCTCAGGTTGATAAGTTTTTGTCAAAATCACCGGGAATGTTGGTACATTGAATGACGAAATCTTTTTGTTCATTTATTTTTTCAATACATTGATTTTTTTATAAAAATTAATTTATTGTTGGAGAAATATTAAAGAGTAGGAATGTGAAGAAAGTTAAACAAAATACAGTAGATCGGAAGAAAATTAATTCTGTGCTGTTCGACCTTAGCTCATAAAAAAAAAATCTTGAACTAATAAAATATACAAAAGCAGTTAATTTATTTAAATAATTAAATTAAATTCTTCTATATTCCTAAATTTTATTATTTACGTATACGTATAACTTTAGTTTACTTTTATTACAAAATTTCTAACGATTGTGATGATGACTGTACATTACGATAACAGTAAACCGAAGCCTTGTCATTTAGTAATTAGAGACAAAATTAGGATAATACAATGAGATGTATAATCCAAGCTTTAATCTGTTATTGGGCGTTGAAAAGGCATTCAATTACCATTACTATGTTATACATAACAGCAACGTTCCTCTTTGAAATCAAAGTCCTTTGTATGTTTGAATACATAATTTTCTTGGTCGACTAAGCCAGCGTGAAATTAAAAAAAATAGCCTATGTTACTCACAGATAAATTACCTTTGTAATGGTGATAGAATTGTTGAAATCGGCCCAGTAATTTTTACGTGAATCGAATACAAAAATACAAATCTTTTCTCTTCATAACATTAGTACAGATATAGATAATGCTTGTTGTTTTTTTGCTGCAAGCTTCAAGTATTAACATGAGTTTACAAGAAGTTAATAAAAGAATATTACTTTGATGTTTAACGTTGTGACATATTTATATTAAATTGAATAAAAGATTTGAAATTTATTTTAATCTTATAATATTTAATGATGGACGTTAAATAATACATGAAATTGTTAATATAATAAATATTTATTCTAGAAAATTGACTTAGTATCACAGTAACTACTATATGCTATCTATAAATTGAACTACAGATTTCCAATGATTTCGTGAGCTTGGAATATGTGTGACGTCAATTTCCCACAGCGTATCACCTACGTGATGAAGGCATCCCTTTTCTCGTACTTATAATCATCTTTGTTCTCAGCTTTTCTGTAAATATATCAATGGAAGGTAAACTTGTGAGACTACCGTTTGATTTATTTTAATATAATTAAGGAATCTTACCCGCACACGGTGTGCGACCGGACGAATCTCTCCCCTTCATCCATGGTCTGCGGCATGGGCCGGCCCATCGTCTCCGGCAGAAGGAAGGCGAAGCTACTAGCCACCAGCGCAGTGCCGCCCAAAATCAATAGTGGTAGGGGGCTCCAAACTCGCTCCTAATTCACATTAATTATTAGAAATTCATTAAATTACATTTATGGTTAATCGATAGTCGTGGAGCTTTGTATTGCCAAACATTAGCCATTTTTCAAAGTCTGCTGTACCCATGTTAATTTAGAATCTTACCGAATATACTATGAACGGTGACATCATAGTTGCGATGTACCCGCTGACGTGTATGAGTGCGGAGCCCGAGGCGCGCGCGCCAGTCGGCACCAGCTCGGCGCTCCACTGCACCATCGCCGTGTACGATATATTGATCATGAACCGAGACGCGATCGCCAGCGCCACCTGCGGCACGCCTGTACAAGGTCACTTTGTCAGATTATATCGACACTAGTTGTTGCTCGCAACTTCGTCCCCATGACATTAAAAAAATAATAATAACTATATCATATGTTACTCACTGATGCCGTAGCTCTTTAATAGTGAAAGAATTTTCGAAGAAATCGGCCCAGTACTTTTTGAGTTATTTCATTACATACAAAGATACATATCTTTTATATTTAAAATATTAGTATAACTATTGATTTGTGACAAGTGTTAGAACCATGGTTACACAGAAGACAAGCGTTATGATGTATCATCTATTTACTCGTAGTATTTACACAGGTGACATAATTTGATTACCTTTAGGTACAAACCCAGTTATAATCGTGAGAGCCCCAGCCATCACAGTAGGTACAATTGTGAGATTTCTTCGGCCCCATCTGGGAATAATCAAATATTCAGAATACATCACATAAACAAATAACATAAACCGAGTACAAATCTATCTTACCTATCTAGAACCAGGGCAACGATAGTGACAGAAGGTATCTCAGTAACGGAGGCGAGGGTGAAGGTGAGGAAGAAGTCGAGGCCCAAACCCTCGGACATGCGCACGAGACCGTCAAACATCATCGCGCACGCCATGTAGATCACCACCATGTATATAATCATGTTGCGCAGTGGTCTAATCTTTAAAAGATCGATTAGAGACTCGTTCGTCTCTTTGGTCTGAGTTGATGAAACCTGCAACGAACGAAACAAAAGAATGAATACACAACTTTTTAAAAATATATATAAAAAGTCCATGTCCTTTCTTGTTCTGAAATTAAATACCAATTTAATAATCGGTTTTTTATGTTTTGGTAGACACATTATAGAACATTTTGCTCCGTTCTTATTTATATAGTTAGCTAGCTCTTTATGTTTTAGCAGTTTTCATAGTTTTTCACTCTACATATTATATCCCTTACAATAAAATCATCCATAACGTGTTGAGGTATCTTCGTTCCGTTGACCTTCTCCAGTGATCTCAGCACTTTGACGGCACGGTTTACTTTGCCTCGCGATGCAAGCCATCTGTATTGTTAAAATAAAATATTCACACAGGAAACGAAATAAAACTATTTCCGCTTCGAGGTATCTTGAAAGTTAAAACAACGTAAGAAAACAGCATTTCTAAATGTATATAAATCATTTTATCAGTCACGACGGAACTTATTAAACAAAAACCGATAAAAATAACAAAAATCGAAGGTCGTTAGTTTAATATCTTATCGTATAGCAATCTCCGTAAAGTCCTGAATGATAACGTTGACTATCAATAGTGAATGAAGAGAGATAGGCTTTTGAAGCGGATTGTAATTGTAACAGTAACACTTCCCAAAGCGAAATCAAAACAAGAACATTACATGCAGTTATACTCGAGTCGATTACAAAATCAGAAAATCATTGCATGATTTTGAATTGAATTAAACAAAATACTGAACATTCCGTTCTTTTTCTTCTAAGTTTTTGTAAGGCTGAAATTGGTATTTAAAACTGATATTGGGAACGATTATTAAACACTCCAAAGTACTTGCTTCACAAGTGATTATCTATGCACAGTTCGTACCTGGCACTTTCTGGAATGACGAAGGGTGCGAACGCGCAAAGAGCCAAAGGCAAAGAGGTGACCCATAGAAACTTGCGCCAATCAGCTATAAAGTAAGCAATCCACGGCAACAAGAGCGCACCGGTGCCGAAGAAGAGAGCAGTAGACATGCTCACTAGTAACGTTCTGTACTGAGGTGCCACGTACTCCAACACTGAAAGACATGAAAGATTGCCAAATTAAATTAAGATACTCTCATATTCAGATTATGATATTAGACCCTTTATTATATAAGAACGCACCCAGTATGTACAGCATCATAGCGCAATTATCGAACGCCATTCCCACGAGGAATCTGCAGATGATGAAATCCCAGACGCCGGTTGTGTAAATCGTCCCTAAACCGCCGACGCAAGCTATTAAATGCGTACCTGGAAATCATTGTGCTTTATCTATTAAGCCATTACATAGTTGAATACTTTCCTAATAAGGGACTTAAGTAAAGACTGTTGAAAACGTGATCGAGAAACGTTTGGTTTTCCCAATGAACTGTAGATCTGTATATTAAAATCAATTGAATCATCCACTACTAAATAAAGAGCTTATTTAACAGATAGTGGATTTATTTGATTAGATAAAAACGTAATTATGTATCTATTCATTGCAAGATTATTACTTATATATAGCATAATTTAGGGTGCACGATCGATCTAATGACCATCTTAACTAAAAATATTAATCAATCATCATCATCATACGATGCATATATGATATATGGTTAATCTTAGCTCCAATTCCAACTAATTCTATAGAAGTTTAATTCTTACCGACCAACACGGGCACTCTACCGTAGCGGTCCGCCATCCAACCGAATAGTATTCCTCCTACTAAAGCACCTACGAAATATATGGTCTGTGCCAGAGGAGCGTAACCAGCGTACTCACACACCCAGCCGCGCTGAAGTAAAAAGGAAAATGAATATAGTTATTTTTGACCGACTTCCCAAAAGAAGGAGGTACTCAATTCG